CTGATCTTCTGGGATACCAATTTTAGCAATTTATTGGATGTTTGTGGTACCTCTTTCGGGGAAATTCAGTTAGAGCAAATTGTGCCCTCCGTTGGGTAGAATTCTTGAAATACTGCTAATTTTGATTGATGTTTGGAGAGTTTACTATCAGAAAAATGGTGTAAATTTAGCAAGTTTTTGGTGGTGGTGAAATGTCAGTAGTAGTTTCTCCACCTCCAAGTCTTGCACCATTTCCTGTTCCACCAGTTGTCTTGAGTCCACCTCCTCAGCTTTCTTCTCCGGTCCCTGCATCTCAGCCTAATGCGACAGCACCACCTGTGTCTTCTCTTCCTCCAACATTACCCCCGCAATCTTCTCCTCCCCCGGCCTCACCAACACTGCCACAATCGCCTCCTCCAAGTAACGTGACATTGCCTCCTCCAATGGCTTCCCCACCCACAGAATCCGCTCCTCCAACTGTTAGTCCTCCACCTATCCCACCTGCTAGTTCACCACCACCTATATCTTCTCCTCCGCCTTCCAGTTCACCACCACCTCAATCTTCTCCTCCCCCTGCTAGTTCTCCTCCAACTACACCTAGCCCACCAGTTAGTTCATCACCACCTCCAGAAGTTGAGCCTCCACCTGTCTCACCTCCCCCACAACCAACTGTTCCTACAAGTTCACCTCCACCGCCTCCAAAAGATGATCCTCCTCCTACCTCACCTCCACCACAACCAACCACTCCTCCAAGTTCACCTTCACCACCTCCCAAAGTTGATTCTCCACCTTTTTCACCTCCGCCACCTGCACAGAATCCGGATCCTACTCCACCACCACAATCTCCTGAACCTCCGAAAGGCTCACCCCCTTCACCACCCGTGAATTCACCTCCATCACCAGCGTCTGTGCCACCAAAAGGCTCACCTCCTACCCCAGCCTCTGACCCTCCTACAAATTCACCTCCATCGCCAGCATTTACGCCACCACAAGGTTCACCTCCTACACCATCCTTGGAACCTCCTAAAAATACACCTTCTTCACCATCAGTTCCTTCAGGTGGAACCACTACCAATAGCTCCAGTGACGATGCAGCAGGTAGCTCAAACAGTCCCAGTAGTAGCGGCCTAGGAACTGGAGGTACAGTTGCGATTGGCGTCATTGTTGCTGTTTTATTGCTTAGTATTGTTGGATTAGTGGGTTGGTGCGTATGGAAGCGAAAGAAAAAGGCTTTTCGTCCCAGTGGCGGGAATGTCATGCCAACCCCTTCGGGCTCCACCCCAAATTCAGGTAACTTTTCAGAAACTAGTATATTATTCATTAGCACGTCAGTATATGTTTCAGATCTTTTTGAAGCAACATCAATGTAATATTTGTGGTTCATAAATTTAATGCAATCTGAGAAGATGCTCAAATTGTGTACAGATTCCGTCTTATTGAAGATACAGGAATCAACACCTGATACCAGAAATGGAACTGGCAACAAATTCCTAAATTCTCCTGGAGGATCTGGTGGATTTGGAAATCCAAAGATATGGTTTACCTACGAAGAACTAGTTAAGGCTACTGGTGACTTCTCGGCTGAGAATTTGTTGGGGGCGGGTGGATTTGGTTCTGTATACAAAGGATGTCTACCAGATGGGAGGGATGTAGCAGTAAAGCAACTAGATATTGGTGGGAGCCAAGGGGACCGGGAATTCAGAGCTGAAGTTGAAATCATTAGTCGAGTACACCATCGCCATTTGGTTTCCCTTGTAGGTTATTGCATTTCTGAAAATAGAAGGCTGCTTGTTTATGAATATGTCCCAAATAACACCCTTTACTTCCATCTTCATGGTAAATACAAATCTTTTTTTTTTTAATAAGAACTCATTGTTGGCATTTTGTCATTAAAACTAGATGTTGATACTTGCAATTTACAGCCGAAGGAAGGCCTGTTATGGATTGGACAACACGTGTTAAGATTGCTGTTGGTGCTGCTCGTGGAATAGCTTATCTGCATGAAGATTGTAACTTTCTTCACTTCTTTAATTCTTATAGTTATGATTGATTATCTGCACTTTGTTTCTTCTCTGGGTGAATAAAATATGACTAAAGAACTGCGAAAATTGCACCATCAGATAATATGTACCTGATTATCACCGTTAAATTTTTTTAACGAACCCATCTCTTTCTGCATCAATTACAAAAAACATTGAACAATACTTGTAAAAAAAAAATACATTGAACAAGTATATAAGATACTCCACTATCAACTTTCTCGTCCTATTTGCTTGAAGAGAACAAAGAAACAAGGGGGGGGAAGATGTATATAAATATTTTAACTAAAAGTCACATTAATCAGTAGCAAATGCTTATAATTATACTGTTAAAAGAAGAAATAGAAGAGAGAGGAAAACTAGAGCAGGGGAAGTTGTGATATTGGCGTGATCTGTAATATACGACCTCCTTGTTCTTGTTGCCTATAATATCAACGTGGTACACTTATTCTAATTATCACTCTTTAACTCTGGATTTCATAATTATCACTCTTCTTTTGTTTCACTCATCTTTCCTGGTGATGACAGGCCATCCTCGTATTATCCACAGAGACATTAAGTCATCAAACATTCTTTTGGATATTAACTTCGAGGCTCGGGTATGTCGACATACTCAAACTCCATTAGTGGCATTCTTTGATTCGCAAACTGACTTATAATTCTATTTATTTTTCACAGGTTTCTGATTTTGGATTAGCTAAATTAGCTCAGGATGCAAAAACTCATGTTACAACACGTGTTGTGGGAACATTTGGGTATGTTCCATCACCAACTTAAACACTAAGTGGAATATAGGAAAAAATGCATTATATTCCTCCTCTTTATGTGTATATTAATACCTTGAATCGTTTCAGATACATGGCTCCTGAATATGCATCAAGTGGCAAGCTGACAGAAAAATCCGATATATATTCTTTTGGGGTTGTGCTTCTGGAGCTAATTACTGGACGGAAGCCTGTTGATACATCTCAGCCTTTAGGGGACGAGAGTCTGGTTGAATGGGTATGTTTATAGTCAAACCAATCTCTTCTTTCTCCGATTCCAAAGCGGCATGAGGTCTCTTTCATCAGCCACTCTCCACGTTATGTGATAATTATGCACTGGTTATTTGTCTCACGTACAAGTTAACTTATATGAATTGGCAGAGTACAAGTACTGTGTTTAGTCCATTTTACTAGGACAACCTCTACATTTAGGATTTGCTGATTCGTCCTGTCATTTCCACACTGCACAAAAACTTGGTCGATGAGGTTTGAAGAAACCACCATTGGTGCTACACTGCTACTCTACAGCAGGCGTCTAGTCTCACCTCTTCGAAAGTTCATTTCTTTTAACTTTCTTTGTTCTAGCACATCAGTATGCTGGGAGGTTTCTCAGCTATAAATTGTTTTAAAAGAAATTCAGACCTCTATCCTGGAAACCTTAGCATGAGAAACTACCAAAACATTAGCCTCTGGAAAGTGTGTTTGTCCTTTTTGACTTTAGGAATAGAGTATTTGCAACAGAATTCGTTTATTGTTCGACCTACCATATAGATGCCTTCTACTCATCTACCAATTCAATGGATCAGAGTTGCTCTTCTTACAAATGGCAGTGAGCTTGTCCTTGTTTTTGTTTGTAAGATTGATAAAGTTCAGAGGATTATTGGAAGTGGACACACCTAGGGAATTGTGATTATTTATTTTCAGGACATTAATTAAGGATAATCGTTGGCACCCTGTGTTCATCGCATTTTCTTATATCCTTTAGTTAAATAGGAGAAATCAAGGAAAGGATGCAGATAGATTTGATGTTGTAGGATATTAAGTGTTTCGACTCTATTCCAACTCATTTGCAGCTTGCATGACTGAGTGGGTGAAAGAAAATTGTGTACTAATTGCACAAATTTGGTGTTTCATTTTCGGGAAGTTTCTGTCTTGTAAGGGTTCATTTGAGTCCATATAATAATCGTTTCTTATACGGAAAATGATTTATTCCCTCTGATTACCTGAGCAGGAAGGCTTCTACTAAAAGTTATTTCTATTTCCATTTGGTTCCTGAGAATGTTTAGTCTTTCGAGTAGAACTAAATTCTATTACTTATCATGACAAGTGACAACTCACATTGAATCAGCCTAACACTGTTTTGAAATCGTATCGATGTAAAACTTGGTGAGACATGCTGCAACTTGATCTTTTTTCTCTTCCAGGCTCGACCGTTGCTTTCTCATGCCCTTGAGAAATTGGAATTTGATCAGCTGGCAGATCCACGCCTCGAGAGGAATTATGTTATCCCTGAGATGTTTCAACTGATTGAGGCAGCTGCAGCTTGTGTGCGCCACTCAGCTGCAAAGAGACCAGGGATGGGACAGGTAACTGATTCTTCATTTCACTAAAATCTTACGCCTGAAGCACCGTTAAGACTTGTCACAAAGGGACTTAACATTCCGATCATTCTTATTCTTTGTAGATCATGAGAGCTTTTGATAACATGTCTGTGTCTGATCTAACCAATGGGATGAAAGTTGGCGAAAGTACAATATATAACTCTGCAGAACAATCTGCAGAAATAAGATTGTTTCGAAGGATGGCATTTGGTAGTCCAGATTTTAGTTCCGATTTTTTTAGTCAAGGTACACAGCATAGTGTAGAGTCGGCTGAAGATAGAGTATAGTACACAGCTAAAGGTCTTGTTAAAGCAAGTGTATATTCATCTGTTCATAGATCAAAAGCACCTACGTTGAGAGGTACGCGTTTGCCTCTCCGAGGTGATTTTGGTTATGTTTTGTAAGTAGCTTCCTTTTTGTCTGCTTACATATAGGCCATGCTTTTTTAGTAGCAATTTTTCCTGTAAGTAACATGAATTTTTTTGTCATCTCCAATATTTTTGTTCTTTCAAAGGTTTATTCAACTTCTTTGTTCCTCTTAAATGGTGGTAATGTGAACTTTGATGGGAACATGTAGTCCTTGAGGATAAAGCTTTTGTGAGAGGAAGCTTAGTATTCATCAGAGGATTTCTACACCAATGAATCAACAATTCTGATTCTTTCTTTCTCTTGATTCTCTTCCGATCAAGATGTATAGATCATGTTCATGGATTAACGAAAATGTTCAAAAACTCTATTTTCCCCTTCTTTTTTGTGCATGTCATCACATTTCTTTGTCAGCATCCATTAATTTTGAAATATTTGCTTAAAAGAGAATGTATGCACCTGGTGGAATAGTCGAGGTGTGCACAAGCTGGTTCGTGATAAAAGAATGTAAATAGAAAGTTTTAAGTTTTAAGTTTTGCTTGTAAAGTCTTTACATCCATTGACACAAGGAATAAAGAAAAGCAAGATTGAGAAGATCTTGTCTTCCTTTGGAAGGCAAGTGCAAAAAAGTCAAAGACAGAGACCTCAATAATCAAGCATGTTGAGTGAACCCTTCTGCTAGCTATCCATAAGCAAACAAACAAACTATGCTTTAATCCTAAGCAAGTTGTGGTCGGCTATATGAATCATCACTTTCCATGTCGCTTCATTTAAGCACGTTATTGTGTCACATGTGAGGATACATCACAAATTGACTCGTTTAACGATATCTTTCTCCTTTATTCTAGCTTGAGACCGGCAATATGAGCAAGTTCACATAGGCAAAGTTCTTCTCCTAGCTATCCATGAACATGTGAAATACAAGTCACTAGTATAGGACAGCTTATGCTTCCTTAAACATTTTGTTTTCAGCTATCAGTTCCATCTTTCTTTAGCTTTGGAGGCAATATTTAAAAATTTCAATGCTTCAAACATCAATATACTCTTCTATAAAGACAAAGCAACCTATTCCTTGACAAGAAATGACTTCTATTCATAACCTTCTTCATTACCATCACCCTTTCTCTCCTTCAATCTTGCACAAAAAATGGAAGACAAAAACATTTTCGCGGCCGATTGCATAGTCATATGTTGCTGCTGCCAATGCTTGATCCTCCAAATCATCATCTTGTTCTTGTTTAACCTTCCATACAAGCTGTTAAAGAAAACAAAAGAATGTATAAAGAAACTGAGATATCGAAGACGGAACAAGAAAACTATTATGGAGATGGAGATCAACAGACATGAAGATGAAATCTTGAAAGATCATGGAGGATCTTTGAGGGTTCAACTTGAGAGTTTGTGTTGTATGGAAGAAGTTGAAAAGGTTTTAGAGGAGTTTTCTCAAAAGGGTGAATTTGCTTTTGGAAGCTTTTGGGGTGGGGATGAAGAGGATGTGTTAAAGACAGAGAGAATCACAACATGTATACATAAACAAACAGTTGATTATGATGTTTTTCATACTCATTTGATACAAGTTTTTGGATCTTTCAACTTGCAATGACACTATCATATGCCCTTTTATCTAAATCTCATATCTGTTAGAGTTCTTGGGATACTGCTTGTTCTAACGGATTTAAGTTAGATACACTGATAACGAGTGTAAAAAGAATTTAAACCATCAAACGATTTAACATGTTATTGAAGGTTACTTACTATTTATTCAAGGTTACTAATCAATGCTTATTACAGAAAAGTAACCAATTTGTGTAAATGTGAAAAGAAATACCATAATAGTACACCCTCACTCCAAACTTAGCTATTTTAAATCCTGAATTCGCCTATGATAGTCTCTCGGTATGTTTGACTTGGTTTTCGGGCATATATACGAATGTTTTGTCATGCCATCTTCGTCTGACTGTCGTGTTTCTTCTCCATGACAAATCTCGGACCCCGCTCATTTAGTAGGAGCTTAGTGCACCAGACTATCTTTTTTGTCTACTAATTAATATGTATTGAAAAAGGACATCTGCCAAAAGATGCAAAACGTCCTTATAAACTAGAAATGCTCATTCTTCATTGCAAAAACCAAAAAAAATGTACACATGATAATGAAAAGAGAATATTGGGTCTTTTAACTCAACAAATCCACTCCTCTTTCTTATTAGAAAAAAGTAGCTTATCTGCTATTCTGCTTCTGGTATTCAACAACAAAAACTTTTAACAATTTTACAAGATATAGAATGAAAGAATTACAAATATATTACCAGTTGACAAAATTTACAAACTCATGAGACATCTTTGCTCATTTAAGACATGGTACACTAGTAGTATAGCTTTGCACCAATTGGACCTCGACGTTGTGGCTTCAATATCTGTAGTCATGTACAGGACCAGCTCGGAAAACATGTACAATGAGCAAGTTCCAGCTTGCCAGTGGTTTTTTTGTAGGTCCAAAAGTCATGTCTTTGCTGAGAATACCTATTCAGGTGTTATCTGTGGCTACTGTTGTACTCTTTCTTGTCTTCCAAAGGATTCCATCTAGCCAATGAACGAGCAGTGAAACCTACGGTTGTGGGCCTTATTGACCTCTGTCTTACCACATGGCAGAACTCTGGGTCATCAGCCCTTCCCTCGTATCTTATCCATTGAATCATACCGTGGTACATTGGGAAGAACCGCGTTTGAATAGCATTGTATGCAAAGTATGGAATAAGAGCTGAAATGACTGTCAATATCGTGATGATCCAGTAGAATGGGGATGGGGCTAAAGCTTCCACGAAGATTTTGTATGCGGTAGTGGAAAACGTTGTAGACATGGTTCCATAAATCAGAAGGAAGATGTACCAGAGAGCAATTCCACCCCAGACGACTATATGCTGGATTAAGGTAAAATAACTGATAGCAAGAGCCATCTGGCAGTTGGCAACCCAAACAACACATGTGTACATGGTTGCTCCAACAACCGCAAATTCAGCAACTTTACCGTCTTTTTTAAAGGCTTGAGGATCTAGTGCCGTTATGCAGAAGAAGAAGATTATCACCGCGCTGCAAACACCGTTGATCATCCAGCCAATTATACGACGCCATCTGAAAAGGAGATTCTGGATACCTTCTTGGTACAGCAAAGGGAACTGCCACATAATACCAAAATAAAATTAGAAATTAAGAAAAAGTACTTAATTCCATGTCATGTCCAAGAAGCTATAACAGATATAAAAACAGCTGATAATAGTAACTAGTTTTTGACGGTGTGAGAGGTTAGCTATGGTAGGTTTTAGGAGAGGTAGAGGTATGCCTGAGAAAACTAGGGGGAGGTGATTGGACATGACATGACACATTTTCAACTTACTGAGGACATGACCCAAAATAGGAAGATTTGGAGGCCGAGCGTAAGAGTAGAAGGGTAATAGGTAGCCGAGCGATATAGTACATACTTGTAGTATCTTATTCTCCTAATTTTCACTATCGTTTGTTTTGTTTATCTTGCTATATTGCTTGCTACTTTGTTGCTGGTTTTTCTTTCTATCATGCTTTGATTACATTTGTTTTGAGACGAGGGTCTATCGGAAAACGCCTCTCTAGGTTCTACCCCACAAAGGTAGGGGTAAGGTCTGTGTACATCCTACCTTTCCCCAAACACCACTCGTGGAATTACACTGGGTCTGTTGTTGTTACTAGTAATAAGCACATATATATTAAGCGAAAACGAATACTGCATCAAGTGCAACATACCTTAAGACACAATCTGGCAGATACATCTTGATCAAAAACTCCCAAAGCAATCACCGGGAGTGATGTGAAGAAGACATTGTAAGATGACAGAAACCATTCATTGTATGCTGGTTGTCCAGAAAATGATGTATATGCCTCATATAAGAACACAGTGACACCAAATAAGATGTTTTTGTAGAAGAAGTAGCATATCTGCAGGGAAACAAATATAAAAGCCAGTTATTAAACTGCTCCAATAATATATCTTTTTGTTTTGAAACAGTTCCACAAGACAGTGGATTTATTCTTTAAACACATTTTTATCTCATCTAACAAATGATGAGACAACAAATTTAAAAGAGAAAATTAGCAGAAAATAGATTACCATCGTAGAAATCCTTCTATAACACCAATGACCATGCACTAAAAGCAAGCGCTCCAAAAATCGGAACTGAGCAATTGCAACATCACTTGACATAACAGCCTAATGAGTAAAAACAAGAAAAAGTTATGAAAAGAACATTTAGGTGGAGGAAAAGCATAAATAAGAAAATCATCACTGTTGCTACATGGAGGAAAGAGAATTAAGTATAAGCTCCTGAACCTGCATTCCTTCGACGCCACTGATTCCAACTCCAATATCAGCTTCTTGAAGCATTCCTACATCATTAGCTCCATCTCCAACTGCTAATGTTATCTTTCCAGTACCGTTTTTGACAAGTCTTGTTACCTACATATTCCAAGAAAGAGTCAAACTAAAGCACCAGAGTAGACTACAAAACATAGAGTCTGGATTGTGAAATCAATTTTCAACTTACCAGTGCCTTCTGTTTTGGTGATGAACGACAGCATATAACAGAGGCACATTTGATTGCAAGGTCTAAAAACATATCTTTCACTTCATCGTCTAGGGCATATGTAAGAGATTTCCCATCAATGATTAAAGCAAATGCCTCTGTGCTTGAAGCAGTAAGTAGAGCCTTTCCTTCAGTAATTTGCCGTGAAACACTTCCCTTTGAAGCCTGTAATTTTTAAAAAAAATCAAACACAACTTCATGAATATTGAAACTTCAAAATTTAAAGAATCATTTTCACATATTTGATTATGTACCTATTGCTGCTACTTCAACAAGCAATGCAAACAAAGAAGGTTCTCAACGAGATTATAGGAGGGATTGCTCTTACTTTTCTCTTTTTCATTCTTATGTGGTTCTTTATTGATTTAGTTCATGGATATTGAATTGTTTAGAGTGAACATGCATGTTAAACTCATGGGTGCACACAGAGAGTGTAAGAGTGATGCCATCAATCATTTGCGAAAACAGTGAGCTATTTTCAGCTTCAAAAAGCTCATTGTCGAGACGCAACGGAACATAACCATAGGTTAACTGCTTATAAGGCATGGCAGAATTTTTTTGTTACATTTCAAAATGACTCAAGCTTGCAGATATGGAAATTGATGTGACACATTAAACATGAGATGTATTTACCCTGGCAATTGCATTCTTTTCTCCGGCTTTCTCTACAGCTATAATATCAGGGCTTTCCAGTGTTATGATAATTTGCTTCATTCCTTGTCTAAGCAAACTACACGCATAACTGCAGGAGACATTTTGGTCAGAATGTGTTTGGACATGCAAAGCTTGTATCAAATAAAAACGACAAAAACTCATAATCAATTACTATACCCGATATTAATGGCTGTTTCCATCTTATCCCCGGTCAAAACCCAAATCTTTATGCCTGCTTGAGCAAGTTTGTCAATGCAATCAGGAACCTAGCATGAATAGAAACAGAAAAATCAATACACATCCAAATGACGTTTAATCAATCAACAACGCTTGGAAACAGTTCTCGGAGTTCATAAAACTTACCCCTGGTTGAAGTTTGTCCTCTACAGCGGTAGCACCAAGAAGAATCAAGTCTTTTTCTATTTTATCTGTTACTGCATCAATGATTGATTCACGGTCTTCACTGACTGAATTCTTGGCCTCTAGAAATTTCTCATTGAAAGTATTGTATTCTTCTTCACTGAGCTCACGATAAGCCAGTATCAAGGTCCTCAAACCTGCATCAGCATACTCATTCACATGTTCCCTTGTTTCTTGTTCAAACCTTCTTCCACTCTTTCCGAGTCTTTCAAACATGATACTGTCAGCACCTTTGGAGAGTAACAAGATCTTTCCGTCCTCATCCTTTACTATGACAGACATCCTTTTTCTTGTACTATTAAACTCCAAAACGTTCAAAATCTTGTATGACCTGCATACAAAGATCTCTAAGATTACTCTTAACAAAAAAGTGCCTATGTTTATAGCACTGCGTAAAATATTGGTAAATTAAAATTGGCATTCATTGTCTGAAGATTTCATAGAGATTAAACATCTTTTTGAAAATAAGCAAGAAATGTCACTGGTACTAGGCTGCATTGTCTACCCACTGGTCTTTATGGATAATCAATAATGATGCACTTGAGCAAGAGCCAGCCAAATATAGGAGATACTAGTCTTTCAGAAAACTAAAAATGCTGAAAACATATACTGAAGAAAAATGTTGCAAATTAACTAACCTCTCAATTCTCTTTCCAGATTCCAGATCCAATTCATGCACCGACACATTTGTTTGTGTCCTTTTAAAGAATTCAAAACCAACTTCTCTAGCAGCAATCACAAAGGCTGCTTCATCTGGAGACTCAGCTTCATATGAAACCTTGCCTGTAACTTCATCTACTTCTGGTATGACTGTATGACAGACTGCTAACAAACGGAAGAACTTCTGTATTACATCTGAATGAGGCTCAAAAAGCCAACTCGCATTCATGATTCTTTCGTCTTCAAAATTGAAACCTTTAACGGTGGACTTCCTAGGAATAACACTATCCTCACCATGATCCTTATTTTTTGCCATCAGTGGAGATCCATTTCTCTTAGCCATGGCCTTTTCAACTTCTGTAATACCACGTCCATAAGCAGTACCAGCCACGGAGCACTTGACAAACTCCATTGAATTGCAAGTCAGTGTGCCAGTTTTATCAGAAAGTATTGTGTCAACCTGGCCAAGTTCCTCGGTAAGATTTGAGGTGCGGGCATGCGCTGGTTTATCAGTTTCTTCATAGTACATATTAATATCCTTATTAATGAAGATACTCTGAAGAACTTTAACAATTTCAATTGACACATATAAGGAGATAGGAATCAAGTAGCTATACAACATCACAGCAGTCAGAAAATGGAACATGGCAGCAGCAGGAGCTCTTCTGGGATCAAAGAAAATGTCTGAATCTTCAGGTTGTAGATACCACCTGTTATGTCCGTCATCTAGATCCTTTTCAGTCACAATTCCAAAGTAGACTGATCCAACAAAAGCAATTGTGAATAGAACTGCAAATAAGAAGTAAATGATTCTATCCATCTTCCTCTCAATTTTGCTTCTTTTAGAAGGGGGGTCTGTTGCATTCTGCATGACCTTTGTGTCATGACCAGTAAAGATAACAGCCCCATATATATATTCTGTGTTGCGCAATTTTGAGTCTCTGAGGAGTAATTGCTGAGGAGAAAGAGGATTCTGTTGTTCTTCGTATTCCATACTTCCAACAAAAGTATACAAATTAGCATTAGGATCTTCACATTTAACTAAAGCTTTAAAGTCTTTAAAGTTTGCATCTTCATGCAAGGATGAAGTAACCTCCAATGCCTGTTTCAGCTTCAAATTAGTCTCTCCATCAAGGTTCATGGTCTCAACATAGCAAATCGCATCATCAAAACAAGACGAAAGCAAAAGAAGGTCTGCCGGAAAGAATTGATCCTTCTCCACCTTAACAATATCACCAACTTTCAAATGTTGCCATTCAGTAAGATTAAAAACTCCATCTCCCTGGTGTACTTTAACCTTCCTACTGTTCACCTCAACATCCTGAAAAGGAGAAAACGAGAAGAAGGATGACAAACTGTGTGCACGCTGGGCAGGACAGTGACAAGAAGCAGAAGTAATGTATAAACTACTTCCATCAATCTATATATAAAAAGAGAATCTGTACCATACATGAGAAAACCAGATCAATTGGGAAAGAATGAAGCTGGTCCCAAATTGAAAAAAGATTGAAAATCAGACTATTTTAGGGAATATTACTTTCAATTCAAAATGGTAACTTTGGCATCTTGGTAGATTCTCAAAAAAATACCATATACACAAACAGAACTTTCACATTTTAGATCAGTTAGATCCCAAGAACCCCTCAAATTATCGATAGACATAATTCAGTAACAAAATCATTATATCACTGATTTTATGCAGCCACAACATCATCAAAAACTTTTTTCAAGATAAGAAGACCATAGTTTTTAGAAAAAACTCTTTTTTACCAGTAAGATCTGCTTTAGTTTATATTTCAAAATGGGAAAAAAGAGTGAATACCTGTTGTTTTCTACGCCAGTCCTCAATACCCTCTTTGACCATAGTTGCTCCAATAACAAGTACAAGAGGAAGAATGGCACTTAAAGCAGTGTAAGGAGCCAATGGTGTAAAAGCCAAGATACCAGTAACAAGAAAGTAGAAGTTAGCTACTCTTCTAAACTGCTCAAACAAAGACTTTGGCAAGAAAGTTGCAGCAGTATATTTTGTTGTGCTGACATAATTCCCAGCATATTCCTTAATTCCAGACTCAAAACTATCTGGTTCATTGCAAAACACCACTCTGGAAAATCCAGGCCCTCCAATTTGTGAATGATCATCACTCAAAACTGATGCTTTCCCACATCTAAATGAGTAAAAATTGCTAAAATGTAGCCTCTTCCTTCTCCCTGTCCTCATTCCAATACCAGAAACCAACTACTCAGTATAGGAAAAAACAAACACCCAATGGGATAATGCAGTTTTTTCCAAGAATCACCTTCTGAAAAATGCCCAGAAACACCAAAGATCAGAACTTTATGATAAATTACTTTCCAATAAGTGAACCCCAGCTAAAGTTTCCAAAACCCCAGACAACCAACACAAGAAACTGATCCACTATAGTACACAAAAAAACTAACTCCCAATGGGATAATGCAGTTTTTTTTTCCAAGAATCACCTTCTGAAAATGCCCAGAAACACCAAAGATCAGAACTTTATGACAAATTACTTTCCAATAATTGAACCCCGACTAAAATCTCCAAACCCCCAGAGAGAAAAGATGAACCAACACAAAGAAATTGGGTAACTAACCCCAATATAGCCAAAAACTAGAGGAAATAGTAGGTGGGGTGTTCCAAGATTGACAAAAAAACTCAAAAAATAAGTCTTGACCACAAGATTTAGCTGCAAAGTTCTAATCTTTATCAGCAGTTAATGCAAGTATTCCTCAACTTCAGCTTGAACAAATCAAAGAATCAAAGTAAAATAAATTTAATGAAGAAGAGAAAGAGAGAGTATGCCAGCTGCTACATCTCTCTCTCTATATATATAACATACACAAACTTATTGTACAATTTACACAAAAGGGTGTACAGTATAGACAATAAAAAACTCAATTTGGGAAAAAAGAAAAATAATTAATTGTTCTAATATTTGATTTTTCTCCAATTTAGCACAAAACCTTTGAATATTGACTTGGGATCTCTCTCTTTCTCTTACATTTCCTCTTTCATATACATTGACTTGACAAATATTTTGATTCTACACGCGCAAATGGATTCTTGAAAAAAAATAAAATTAAAACTTTACACCAAAAAAATAAAAAATCAAAACCCCATTAAGGAAAATAGTAATTTTCCAGTAAAGTTTTCATCTTTTCAAGAATTCACGCTGGGAAAAAGAAAAAAGAATCATTTTTGCAAGAATTTAGTAAAAAAATTCTTCCATTTGTCTTTTTGTTTGTTTGGTCTTCCTCTGTGTTTTTAACATGTTTTTTTTTTGGTTTAGAGAGGTTAAAGACAAAAGAAAAAAATGAACATTTTTTTTTCTATATATTTTTTGATTCTCAGATGAACAAATTAAAAAAAATAAGAAAATTAATACACTAACAGTAATTTTAATTTTAATTTCATAAATTAAAAAAAATACAAGAGAGAAAGATAGACAAATTACCGTATCAAAAGGCCAAAAAATATGCCAACATGTTGCTGAGACTGCAACGTGTGACTAATAAATAGTCAAAAATGGTTTAAAAAAACTAATTTTAATACTAATCTCTTAACATCAGCTCTTACGTAAGTTCACATGCATAAATGATATTTAAAGTTTTTAAATAATAAATTAATAAATAATCATATATATGTGAGAGACTTTAATATATAATCTTACTGAGATTGATTTTATTGGAAGAAAGTCTGAATAAAAAGAACAGATTTTTAAGAAAAAAAAATAGTTTTAACTAGTGGTGGAAAAGTAGTAAAAAAGTCTAATTTCATAGAAGCTTCTATTTCATTTTTTTATGGTAGTAAATTGATCTATTAAAAATTAAAATGAGATTTTAATTTTTATGGGAAATTTTAGTTTTTCTTGTTTAACAATTAAAAAGAAAATTATGGAAGAAAAAAAAAAGAACTTGTTAAAGAAAAGTCTTATTTAGTAGAAGCTTCTATTTTAATTAATATTTGATGGTAGTAAATTGATCTATTAGAATCTGATTTTAAGGAAAATATTTAATATTTCTTGTTTCACAAGAAAAGAGAATTATGGGCAGGAAAAAAAGGGAAAAAGAATTTTGTAATATTAATATCTACTGCTTTAATTATTTTTTCCAACTAATTTAGGTGTATAGTCAACCTTCTAGAAACACTCAGAGTATTTTGTACACTATAAATTAAAATACAGCATATGATTAATTTGTTCAGATTTGGAAAGTATATAGTGAAAAATCAAATCTTGCATATGTAAAATATTTACATTTTTTCTTTTGCTTCTAATTATATTTATTTTTTGATGTCTTATTTAAAGAGAAAATAATTGTTTAAACTAGTCATTTTCTAGTTCTTCATATTGATGATTTCACAATTATATGTGGTTGATATGGATTTATCCATTATTACATTAGTTAATATATGAACATTACAGATATATTTATAATACAACAAATAATATTTTCTTGAATTTCTCTCTCTTTTATAGTCTTATTGTTCGATAAAGTGATAGAACAACTACGTATGATTATGAATATACCAATACTTCCCCACTCGATTGGATGTTTGCTTATGCACTTTGAGTAGTTTGAATTCTTCTCGTGTAAGGCGCGTTACATTAAAGGTGGTATTAAACTAGCAGTATTCCGTACTAAGATTCTTTTCACTCTAAAGTTTGTATTCAAGACTTTGAATAAAGAACATATATAAAAATCTCGTCCATTTTACCACAACTTCTTATTAGTTTATGAATATGCAATATACTAGTATGTAATTTTCAGTCTATGGTCACAACTCACAAGTCTTTGGAGCTCAAGTTCTTTAACGAGATAATGGTTGAAAATATATTTAAACTATTATTTTTTCGTGAATTACATATCTCAATTATCGTTCCACGTTCCTATCTAAACTATCACTAGTTATTACTATATTTTTTTATTTGACCTATATATCACCATTTATATATTAAAACACGTTTTAATACATAAATGATGATAGTTCCGATCCGCTAGAAAAAAAAGAAACAGTTTGATAGTTAAAATATGCCCCTCTCTCTACTTTCATGGAATATTCATCTTTCAACTAGTTTGTTACATGTGTTATTTCCATTTTGTCTCTTTCTATTTCTGATATTAACGATTTTGATTGGTCAAAAAGAAAGCTCATTCATTGGTTCAATTTAATACTAATTCTTAGTATATACATATTATAATAATATACTTACTTTTCTTGATGATTTTATTTTGTGTTAAAAGACATGGAATTGTTGTAAGTTTATAAATCGTAAATTGACTTATATTTTTCTCAACACGTTACCATCAAGAAACATTTTGTACTATTTTGACACACACACATATTGGTTTTCAATTTAATATTTCACGTTCGATATTTGTTTGGAGTCTGAAACTGAATTCACGCATTGTAAAATCTGTTTGAATCAAAATTCTTGGAAGTAGTAAAAAAGTAAGTATTATAATTTCAAGATTTTCGAGTATGATGAGAAGTTAAATAATTGCACAGCGTGAGTTAAGCCTTTTTCTATTAACTTTTATTTGTTTAATTTTCTGAGTAAACTTTACAAACAATCACTTTTTAGTTAGCTCAAGTAATTCAAAAATAGTCGTGATTATAAAATTTAGGATATTATCATTAAATTTTATTGATAAAATTTAAAATCCGACAATAATATTTATTTTTTAAAAAAAAAGACAAGACATAAAAATGACCGATAAACACTATTTGAATTAATGTCTTCAAAAAGGCATTAAAGAGAGAAGATGGAAAGTGGTAAACTTCATCCCCAACCACCTCATGTCATTCTCATGAATGCAAGTTCCATAACTAATATGGTGATGACGGAGTCAAAATTTTCACATAAATTTTAAATATAAAAAATAAACACATAAATAAATTGAGAGGATTTAATTTCAAATATATATATATTTGTTGAATTCTAAACCTCCTTGCTCCTACTTTAACTCCGCTCCAGCAACTATTTATGCAAGATAAGGTTCAATGTATGAAGTGATTGGACAAAATATAGGACAGAAATCAACTCATCATGAATGTGGAGAATTCATTTTTTGCATATCTCAATTATAATAATAATAACAATAATAATAACATAAACTAAATGCCGCCATAAACGTGAAAGAAATTAAACGTGAAAATTGATCAATTGAACCCTTTTAGTTTGAATAGTAGTTTATATAAATTTATTTATATATCTTGTCAAAAAATATAAATTTTAAAATAAATTTGTGATGCTCCTTTTATTTTATCCTAGATAAATATCTTGTTAGCTAAATCGATTAAGTTAAAAATATGTATCGCTTAGAAAATATTATGTTAAGTATTTATTTTTAAATTTTTTAAAATTCATAAATTTCAAATTCAGAACACACAAATTTTTAATCTTAGATTCACTTTATGTATTCTTTTATAAGGATTTTGTTGATTGTTTTAGTTAATGTCATATTTATCATCAACTTTCAACACATTTCATCTTTATTCTCATTTCCATAGTTCGGGCCCTATCGTGTTCACCATGCCACAACCTACTTTTTTATCGCTATCACTCATACTATTTGTCTAGATTATATACAAATAATTTTGACATATTTTTATAAATTTACATAGGGTAAATAATAAGTACACAAATAAAAGAGATAGATAAAATTACACATTTTTTAAAATAAATATTTTCTTCCTTACCAAACAATTCCTTTCTATAGTTGAGACTTGAGAGACACAATCAATATGTCCTTTCTATATATCTTGGCTCGAGGAATTAAAATTGCCTCAAAAGGGAAAAAGTAATATATATAAATCCACTAATTTATATATAAATTATAACCATCAATGCATCTAGAAGAGAGATTAATGGCCACCAAAGAATGTGGTCAGTGGATGAGGCTATCTCTCTTAATTTAGAGATTTCGAATTTGAGTTTTAAGCATGATTTTTTTTAATAGAAAGCGCTTTTTCTGAATGAGATTCTACGTAACATGAACTCGAAATAATCAGGTTCTAATGCAAATATCGAACACCACGAGGGAAAAAAATAAGAAGAGAGAGATTAATGCATATAGTTGTTAATTTTATTTCCATATGTAGGGTAGGACAACACATTTCTCATTAGACGTCCGTTTACCATGTTTGACTATAAATTATAGATAATTAAGTTAGGGATAGTTGTATTATAAAACCCTCGATTAATGATGAATTCTAAAAAGATCATTATTATAATACTTAGTAACTAATATATTTAATTTTTAACTAATTAAAATGTGGGTTATTGCTCCCTTTATATGTAATATTTAGATTATTTTTATAACTATGTTACCCTCAAATATGAATTAACTCCACAAATGTAATATATAATTAAATGATTTGACATTTAATAATTCGCTAAATTTATGAAGATTCGCAACTAGAGGGATTAAAAGTTTACATATTCAATTACTTGAATGTTGAATGTGTTTAATTAACCAAAATCACAAGGACCAAAATAAAACATATCTAAGTTTGAGGGGCTATATTGTTAATTTCCCTTAGTCCTATATTTTTGGACTTTTGGTTAATCAAGTCATCAAGTTTTAGGTAGATGTTTACCTTTTACAACCAAATTTTGTGACTTATTTTTCTTCACTCTTAATATTTAGTTTGACTTTCATGATGTGATTGTTAGGGTTTTGCCCTGATTTTCTTACTATAATTTAAGATTTATTTTTCCTTAAAGAAAAGATAAAATATTACCATAAATGTTTTTACTTTTCCTAAAAGGAAAATATAATATTCTTTCATATTTGGTTTATTCTTTCCTCTTAGGAAAAGGTTTTGGAGTAGCTAGTTCT